GCTACTGCTCGAAGGCAAGTGGCCCATCCTGAGCCCACAGGGTCTAGCCTCGACATGTAGGCCACTGTTCTGAGCCAGTGTCCTAAAGTCTGAGTCAGGACCCCTTTCACCTCATGGGTGAACAAATGGAAAGGCGTAGTACTATCAGGCAGAGCCAAGATGGCGGCTGAAATGAGCGCTTATTTAAGTTGCTCGAAAGCTTGCCGCTCAATGTCTGTCCACGCTAAGGCTTGATTTCCCCCTGTGCTTGAATATAGGGGCCTGGCGATTCATACAAAGCTTGGAATCTGCAAGCGACCATAGTCCACAGCCCCCCAGAACTCCCGTACCTGCCTCTTGGTTTTAGGCACCGGAATTTTCATGATGGCTTCAATACAGCTTTTCATTAAGGCCCGCTGACCTCGTTGGAGGACGTATCCCAAGTAAGTTGCCGTTGTTCCACAGACCTGAGCTTTCCTGGCAGAGACACCATCGCCAAGACTCTGGGGAGCGTCCAGGAGGTCCTCAGTGGCAGCTGGGCATCGGGCTTCCATCTCTGTGGCTAGGAGCAGATCATCCACATACAGGAGCAGGGTACATTCTAGGTGGCTCACCCCAACCCTGTCAAGTCCTGATGGAAGGCTTCATCAGACAGGGTAGGAGAATTGTTGAAGCCTTGGGGTAGCTTGGTCCACGACAATTGCCCTGAAAATCCTGCTCCAGGGTCTGTCCATTCCAAAGCAAATATGGACTGAATGACTGGTACAAGAGCAATGTTGGAAAAAGCATCCTTTAAGGCCAGGACCCTATAGACCGAAGAGCTGGAGAGAAGAGGCTCAGTAAAATATGGGGGTTGGGGACCGTCGGGTGTATTGTCTCAACCCTCCTATTCACTTCCCTCAAATCTTGTACAGGACGATCATCTTTTGTCCCCGGCTTCTGAACGGGAAATGGGGGGGGGGGAGGGAGGTGTTCCAAGGCAAGTGGCATGTAACCGGAATGCCTGTTTTGAGAAAAGCTGAAATGTGGGGGGCAATTCCTTTCTTTGCCTCTAGGTCTCACCCAGAAGGGGGTGGCATCTGATGCCAACTGTACCACCACTGGTGCCTGGTGTTTGGCCAGTTCTGGAAGGCTGATCTCAGCCCATTCATGCGGATATCGTCGTCGTAATTCTGGGAGATAAGTTGCTGGCTGTTCTCCTTACAAATCCTCCTCGTGCAACGAATATTCCTCTGACAAGGGACCAGTCCACAGAGCTCAAACTGGTGGAGGAGCTTCTTTATCTGCATGGGTGGTGAAGAAGGCTCAGTCTTCCTCCAAGGAAATAGTAGCCTGCAACTTCCTAAGGAGATCCTGTCCCAACAGGGGATGGAACACTCTGGAATGACTGAAAAGGAGTGGGATAGGGTGGTTTTAGTTTTGGTTTTTCCCCAAATCCACAGTTCTTTCTGAAGTCCATTTTCTGGTTTCCCCTTGGATGTGTCCTTTTCGAAGTTGTAGGTCTTCTAGAGGATGTCAGTACTGAGTGGGCAGGTCTAGAGTCTACCAAAAATTCCTCTGGGTGGCCCCCAACTTTAAGAGATGCTGACTGTAAAGCACATCTTCTCAACCACAGTGGAGGGTTCTCGGCCAAGGCTCTCCACTGGTCTACGTGTGGTATTGGTCCAGGTGCCCAGGATTCCCGGTTACCACATTCCAAACTGCCAGGGTTAACTCGGGGTTAAAGGAACCTTGGCTTGGCCAGCCAACCCCAAAGGTAGGCCAATCTACTGTACAAAGACTTTTTAGCTTAGATTTAGAAATGCTGACCCCATAATCATCTGAAAATCCCAATTTACAATTGCTCAATATACACTGGAGGCAGGGTATGAGTGGAATTTTGGTTCCGCGTCCCAGCGAAACTGGGAATAATAACAACAGCAACAGCTAATTAGAGAAGCAGGGCTACAACCTAGATTATGATGGCCTCAGGTGTTCCTGAGGCCATGAAGTACCAAGGCATATCCTACAACAGGTGTCTCGCAGGTAAGAAATTATGCCCTAGAAAATAAGGAAACATTATTTCAAGCTTGTAAATCTTAGGGAGAGACGAGAGAACAACATGGATGAAATCAACACAAAGACAAAACATTGGCTGGGTGGAGGGCTTCTTCCGTTAAGAATGGGCCACCCGGCCCAACTATAACCAGAACTCTCTACTGCATGGGAGTCACAGAAGCTGCAAAACTCTCCACAGTACAGAGTCTGCCCAGTGAGCCTCTCCTACTCAGCGCCACCAGAACCTCTCTAGCTTGTCAGCGGGAGAGGAAGAAGAGCGGGTCACAAGCATGTCTGCTCCCCGTACTACTTTAAATTCCAGATGAGTAGACCCCAGGTTTCAGAAAAAACAGAGAAACAGAAATTTAACTTACTTCTGGAAGATTTATAGTGACTCCAAAAACGTTGTTGGCTTGTCAGGCGCCCACGAAACTGGCTGTTGGAGTGGCCGAAAGACCACAGGGCCCTGGAAAGTCTCAGGAGGCACACTTCCCCTGTGGGGATTTCTGCGTCCCCTCATCTCCAGCAGCCAGCTCATAGAGGCTGTCAGCCTGTGACTCAAAGGAACCCAAGTGCCCTCCTTGGCACTGGTATCTCGTTGGGGCCCCCAAATGTTATATGGTAACTCAATTAACGGGGTCCAGAGATGCCATCCAATTTGGAGTATTTATTAAAAGGCTAGCGACTGCGCGGTGGAGTCCTGTCTCAAAAACCAGCAGCCCAGAATAGAGTTAACACATAGCTTTTAAAGACAAGAACACATGCTTGGGGTGGAGACCAAGCCTTAACAATCTCAACAGAAGTGTCATACATAAAACAAAGCAAGCTAAATGAGCATACTTATTCCTCATAAAGCAAAGTGAATATATTTATTCTTAACAAACTGGTTATACAAAGTGAACATACTGGGGCTGGGAAGGTGGCTCAGTGGTAGAGCACGTGCCTTGCATGCCTGAGGCCCTGGGTTCGATTCCTCAGCACCACATAAGCAAAAAGAAAAAAGCCAGAAGTGGCACGGTGGCTCAAGCGGTAGAGCCCTAGCCTTGAGCTGAAGAGCTGAGGGACAGCGCCCAGGCCCAGAGTTCAGGCCGGACCGGAAAAAAACAAAACAAAACAACAAAGTGAACATACTTATTCTTAATAAAGTGATTATAGGTAGGCCAAGTGACCGGGTAGGGATACTTAACTCTAACAGAAGTGTTCTACATAGGCATAGCAACCAGGTGGGGGTACTTAACTCTAACAAAGTGGTTATCTATAGGCAAAGTAAACTCTCCAGTGGGACAATAAGGGACAATCAGGCCCCCAATTATCCAGGGGAAGTGGGAGCTTCCTGGGACCCTACGACTAATAACATTTTTGCAATCCAAAGAGTGTCCTCTTTAACCTCTAGTGTTTTCAGAAAGTCCCCATCTACAATTAATATCAAGATGCCAAGATGGCATCCAGTTACTTAGATGGAGTATCCATATTTCAAGACTACTGTGGCCAGGGCTCAGTGAGAAAAGCAGAAGATTATAGAGAGAAAACCGCTTGTCTTAGAGGCTACCTGTGTCATCATGAACAGGGCACTGGTAGAAATGTTAATATTGTAGGTTACTCATGGTCACTTGATTCCATTGTATTGAGGCCTAATGAGAGGGAGAGGTGGTAGGAGGAGGAGGGAGAAGAGGAGGAGGAAGGAGAGGAGGGAGAGGAAGTAAAAGAGGAAGAGGGAGAATCTGAGGATAAGATATGCCACTCAAAGTCAAGTAGCCAGTGATCCACTTCTACCAGGCAGACCTCAGTTTCGAATATCCTACTCAGCTATGCATTGGTCAATGAATTAATCCATTGATGAAATTAGAACCCAAGGGGTCCAGTCCCTTCTCAATAGCACCACCCGCTGGGAACCAAGCCCTCAATACAGGAGCTTTGGGGCATGGGGGGGAGGGGATTTCACATTCAAACCATTACAGGAAGGTATTTGGCAGAAGAGATTTCCAAACAACACCCTGAAAGGAATTGGGCCTTATTTCCCCTGGCTGCTGAGATAAAAGGTAACAGGGCTAAGAGCAACTGAAAAAGCTGCTCCGCAAAAAGCAATCCGGCCTTGCGAATCCGGCAGCCCATCCTGCTTATTCTTGACCAAAACACACTCCTGGAGAGAGGGTGTGCAGATTGTACGTGGCCAGTCGAGGAGGCGATTTTAACACCGGCTCGGCTCGGTGTGGGGATGGGACTCTGAGCAAAGGCTCAGCGGGTTGGGACTGAAGAACCGAGGAGGAGATAAAGGAAGAAGTAGATGCTGCTGCCCCTGGGGGGGGGGGGGCTCATCAAAAGGTGGGTCCCAAACCAACCAAGATCAAACCTGAAGGCGTTTATTTGTCCAGAGATAACAACGTCCCCGAGATGAGGGAGATCCTCCCCTCTAGAGGTGAAGTCCTCAGGCCCTGAGAGCCAGGATTATGGGGGGGGGGGCCCTTAACTTCATCCCAACCCATCTCCAATTCCAGTCCTCCCCACCGTGCCCCCCATCCCTCCCCCCCATTCAGGCCCAGCTCCCCCCCTTCTCCTGGGGGAGGGGGGAACCCCGGGGCTCCACACCCCCTCTCCAGGATTGTTTCCCTCCCTCCCCCCCCTTCCCCTAGGAAAACAACTCCACAGGGCGCTCAGTTAACCCCTTCAGAGCCGCCTGGGGTGGGGGTGGGGGGCGCGGGGTGGGGGTGGGGGGCGCGGGGTGGGGGTGGGGTCCGCCAGCTCTGCCCCCCCCCCCCCCCGCCTCCGCCTTGGCCCGCAGGGCTCCGGCCGGGGGGGGGGGGGCGGAGTCGGCTCCTCCCCGGCCAATCGCCCCCTCCCCCTCTCCCTCCCGCCCCTCCCGCCCTCCTCCCCCCGGGGCGGGGCGTCTCCGACCCGGCCGGGCTGGGCTGCGCGGCCGGGAGCCGAGCGCAGGAGCGGCGGCGCGCGGCGCGGCCTCCTCCACTCGCCGAGGGCCGCTCGCCGCGATGCCCGGGGGCGCGGGCGCCGCCCGGCTCTGCCCGCTGCTGGCGCTGCTGCTGCCGCTGCTCCCGCCGCAGGCGGCGCGGGGGCCCGGCCCGACGCGCGGTAAGCGGCCGGGATGCGCGCGGGGCCGCGCGGCGCGGGGCGGGGAGCGCGTCCCGGGGACGACCCGGCGAGTCCGGCCCGCCAGGCCCGGGACCTCCCTCGGGGCCGCGGCCCGGGCTCCTCTGGGGTTCCCCGCGGGGCCTAGGCCGCGTGCGGGGCGGGGGACAAGGGCGACGGTGTTGGGGTCCCCCTCCTCCTCCCTGGGTCTCCCTCCGGGTGTGGCCGGCGGTGGGGGGGAACCTTTCCCCGGAGGGTGAAGAACCGGTACGGCTCCGACGAGCCCATTGTACAGGTGGTAAACTGAGGCACGCAGAGTGGGGGAGGGAAGCAGAGGCTCTCTGAGCCCCCCACCCCGACCTCTGCCCTCGCTCGGCCTCAGTTTCCACATCGGTGGCGTCCAGGTGTCCAGCTTGCTTGGTGATGGTTGTCTGTCCTTCCTTCCTTCCTTCCTTCCCTCCTCTCCATCCCTCCATCCTTCTCTCCATCCTTCCCTCCTTCCCTCCCTCCTCTCCATCCCTCCCTCCTGCCCTCCTTCCCTCCCTCTTTCTCCCCATCCCTTCCTCCTGCTCTCCCTCCCCTCCTCTCCCTGAAGGGCTCTGCTAGGATTTGTCGGAAGGGGCCATCCCCGGAGGAGGGAAAGGTGGGGGCTGCTAGGTGTCTCCCCCCCCCCCCCCAAGTCTGTCTGGACAACCCAGGAAAGTTTAGCCTCAGTTGCACCCGGCCCGGACTTGCTGGCCGGGTCTGCTCTCTGCTTGGAGGGGCCCCGTGGTCAGCGTTTGCAAAAGAGGGGGCTGGGCAGGCTGCACCCCGGGGTGGGGGGCGCCTCGAAGTTGAGGGAGCCTGGCCCGGGGACTAGCACGGCCCCCGGCTGTGCCCTCCTGAAGGAGGCCCCGGAGGGGAAGGGAAAAGCCAGTAGCTGCTCCTTCAAACACATCCAGAGACCCCAGGCCGCCCCACCCAGCCTGGGCTGTGCATCTCTGGAAGGAACCGGAGGCGCAGCAGAGGTTAAATAATCTGTAATCTTCCAATCGCACCATTGCCATGAATAATTTGGGGGTGTTACTTCCTTTGGTGTGTTCCTGTAAAATATTTCTGGGTAACCGTGCAAGCGCACCTGGGCACTTTGCCCTTCTCAGATCATTAGAACGCTCCATTCTGGTGAAGCTGGTTAAAAGGAGTAATTACTGGAACTAACTGGCATTGGGGAGAAATTGAAATCTCAGTGGCTCAGAAATAGGGGCGCGGGGGCAGAACAATGTAATATTGGTTATCTTCCTATTGTGCTGAAAATCTTTTGTCTCTCAGGCTCAGAATCCCACAGTGAAGACATAACTTCACAAAATCTAGGCGGTTTTGTGTTCTGTGCATGTGTGCTGACTGGTACTGGGGCTTGGACTCAGGGCCTGGCACTCTTGTTTGGATCACAGGTGGCACTCTACACACGAACCAGGCCTCTACTCTGGCTTTTTGCTGGTTTATTGGAGATGGGCACTGCTTGGATTTGTCTGCCCAGGCTGGCTTCGATCTTCTGACCTTTAGATTTCAGCTGCCTGAGTAGCGTGGATTACTAGTGTGAGCTACTTTAAGATGTGAATCAGTAGTAGATAAAAAGTCAAAGGTAGCGGGGCCATGGTGGCTCACGCCTGGGATCGTAGCTACTTAGGAGGCTGAGGTCTGAGGATCGAGGTTCAAAGCCAGCCCTGTCAGGAAAGTCCATTAGACTCTTATCTCCAGTAAACCACCAGAAAACTGGAAGTGGCGCTGTGGCTCAACTTGTAGAGTGCTTGTTTTGAGCTGAAAAGCTCAGGGACAGTGCCCAGGTCCAGAGTTCAAGTCCAATGACCAACCAAAAAAAAGTCTAAGGTAATTTTCCCTAAGATAATTCAAAACCCACAGGAAGGCTTGCTAAATAAACTGCCCGATGATGACATTGAAAAGATATCTTGCCTTATTTCCAACTTTGTTGTTGTTGTTGTTCATGGAGCTTGATCTCAGGGCCTGGCTGCTATCCCTAAGCTTTTTCGCTCAAAGCTAGCACTACCACTTTGAGCCACACCGCTACTTCCAGTTTTCAGGTAGCTAATTGGAGGTAAAACTTAGGGACTTTCCTGCCTGGGCTAGCTTCGAACTGTGATCCTCAGATCTCAGCCTCCTGAGTAGCTAGGATAACAAGCGGTGAGCCACTAGTGCCCAGCTATTTCCAATTTTTGAGCATTTCTTCTTCTTCTTTTTTTTTTTGGTCAGTCATGGGGCTTGAACTCTGGGCTTGGGTGTTGTCCCTGTGCTCTTCAGCTCAAGGTGAGCACTCTACCGCTTGAGCCACAGCACCACTTCCGGTTTTCTGGTGGTTTATTGGAGATAAGAGTCTCATGGACTTTCCTGCCAGGGCTGGCTTTGAACCTCGATCCTCAGATCTCAGCCTCCTGAGTAGCTAGAATGACAGGCGTGAACCACCGCCACCCCGGGAGCATTTCTTCTTAAGCTATACTATGTTCCTCTGTTTTTGAGATGTTAGATTACTTTCACTATTTTCTTTCGTGATCATTGATATCATTTAATTACATTCAACATTCCACTAAAACAACCATAGCTCCTTTTTGTTGGAACAATCAGGGCTTATCAGAGCCTACGTTGTGTGGGGCTCAGGAAGTCGATCTTCTTCAGATGGTCTGCACTCAGGGTTTGTGGTCAGCAAGCAGTCTTCCCCAGTGTTTTCAATTCCTTTTCTTGCAAAGTAGAAATCCTGGTTTGCAGAGGAAGGAGAAGTAGGGAGTGCGATTAATCTGGGCAGTGAAGAAATGGAAATGAGTCACCGCTGGGAGGCAAGCAGCTGGAGCCGGTGCTAGGGTGCCGGGCTGGGTAGCAAACACGCTCAGAGCAGCTCTAGTGGGTATCATGGTCATTGATGCGAACATGAAGGCCCACTGGGTACTACGCCCTTGGGGAAGATTTCCAGAATCCCCTCCCTTCCTTCCTGTCCACTGATGGCATCCCACCAGGACCTCAACGCCCCCCGCCCTCCCGCCCTCCTCCCCTCGGCAGACACGCTGAGCTTTTTAAAACAGAATACAGATCCCATTACTCTGCCTTAGAAACCTCCAGTGCCTTCTAAGTCTATTTATAATGACATCCAGACACCGTGCATGGCCAAGATACTGTCAGGCCCCAGGGCTGTCTGTCTGTCTGCATCTCTGGTCTGTCCCTGCTACTCTGCTATTGTGCCTTCTACCTGGGGTGCCCCCTGCCCATGGTCCCCCCAGCTCTCCATTAAATGGCATCTTTGCTGGCCACCCTGTCCGAAGTGGACACCTGCAGCGGGTCCCTAGGCCCTGGCCTAGTACTTTCTGCCGGGGACATAGCACCATCTGAGAACATTGGATCATTTCTCTGCCTCACCTGTAGCACGTGACCCCGAAGAGCCCAGGGCCTTTGCTCTACCACCAGCACGGGCAGCATGCATAGGGTCCCGTGGAGCCCCGTGGGTTTTCTGAGTTCTTTCTGGGGCCGTGGCTTCAGCAGGCCCCTTCAGTACAGGGCTTTGGGGCTGCAGGTCTGGGATTCTCATGACTGTGTGTTTTGTGTTGGCAGGAGGAGGTGAAGAAGGCAGCCATCTGCTTCAGCATGAACTCATAATACCTCAGTGGAAGATTCCAGAAAGCCCCTCCAAAGAGAAGGTAAGCAAGGGTCTTGGGAAGGCAATGGAGATGTTACTCTGCACTTACAGAAAGGACTTGTGTTCTATAGTACTCTTCCTGCTTCTGGTTTTTACTGCTCAAAGGTAATGAAATTACCCTGTGTGACAGAAACCTACGTGACTCTGTACTTCATAAAGAAGTTGTGTTTTCTCATTTACAAACTAGGTCTTAGCTGGGTGCTCACGCCTGTCATCCTAGCTACTTAGGAGGCTGAGATCTGAGGATCGTAGTTCAAAGCCAGGCCAGGCAGGAAATTCTGTGAGACCTTTTTTCTTGTCAGTCATAGGGCCTGAACTCTGGGCTCTGACCAGTGCTCTACCACTTAAGCCACAGCATCACTTCTGGCTTTTTCTGTTTATGTGGTGCTGAGGAATCGAACCCAGGGCCTCATGCATGCAAGGCAAGCGCTCTACTACTGAGCCACCTTCCCAGCCTTCCCCCCACTTTTTTTTTTGGTCAGTTGTGGGGCTCGAATTTGCCACCTGGGTGGTGTCCCTGAGCTCTCTGGCTCAGGGCTAGCACTTTACTACTTTGAGCCACAGTGCCACTTCCTCTGAGAGACTCCAATTAACCACAAGCACACCAGAAGTTGTTGAACTACCACCCTCAGGGGGAGGAGTTGGTATCTAACATCTGTTTGGTTCAAAAGGGCCTGATTATTGGGCTGTATACATGAGCACAATGCCTGCAGTAGAGAAATGCATCATGAAAGACTTATGTATGGTGACTTCGGAGTCTGGAAAAATGTCCAGAATCCAAACATATCCCCAAATGTTCCAATTTTTTTTTTTTTTTTTCCAGTTCTGAGGCTTGAACTCAGGGCCTGGGCTTTGTCCCTGAGTCTGTCTGTGCTCAAGGCTAGTGCTCTCCTTGAGCCACAGTGCCACTTCTAGCCTTTTCTATTTCTGTGGTACTGAGGAATTGAACGCAGGGCTTCATGCATGGTAGGCAAGCCCTCTACCACTAAGCCACCTTCCCAGCCCTCCCATTTATTTTTAGGAAGAGGGAAATGAACAGAGAACATGTCAGGACAACCATACGCAAGGGACCTTTGGCCCCTCAAAAGTAGAGAAGGCTGAGAATAGCTTCAGGAAAAGTCTCGACAGATGAATGGATGGCCATGCAGGAGCAGATTATTTTTCAAAAAGGAGATCTTGGGTAGTGCGGCTCTCCGGGCTTGCCAAGGAACAGATCGGATGCTTTTCCTAGAGGCTCCTTTGTCCCTCCCGATGCAGGATGCGGGCATCCTCAGGAAAGGCCCAAGAAACAGAGCCCAGGATCAGATCCTGCCTTTGTTCCCAGCCCCATTGTCTCTCCAGATCGTGGGCAATTGTATGCTGTCGGAATTGTCAGCACAGTGCCTGGCACCAGAAACATTTGATGGAATGAACAAATGAATGACAGAGGTTGAGAGAGACAGAGACAGAAAGACAGAGAAAGACAGAGAGAGATGCCAGTCAAAGCTAGATTGCTACTTCTGTGGTACTGAGGAATCGAACTTAAGTTCTTTTATGTTATTAAACACAAATGGAGCCAGTACCCACACAAAAGCAAGCAAGCAAATACACATACACTGATTGATCGCCGACAGAATACTAAGTGTTAATACTAGATCTGAAAGGTGCAAACAGACAGGGCAGGTCCGCTGTGCTCTATGCAGCTGAATCCATTGCAGCCCTAAAGAGAATAGGAAGGGCTCTGCGGCCTTTTCTCGGGAGCGCGAGCAGCCGGTCATCCCCCCCAGGCTCCCCAGGACCGCTGGTGTTGCTCAGGGCAGCATTGGAGCTGCAAGAGGAAAGCTGCTCGGGGCCGGCCGAGGACCAGGGCGGCTTCACCACACATGGAGCGCAGCCTCAGTGTTTGCCCGCAGGGTCTGCGTGAGCTCCTCGCAGAGCAGAGAACTATCCACACGAGCACTCGAGTTGCTGCCCAGTGTCTTTGGGAGAGACAGCGTTGTGCTTGGATTGTGTCCCTGTCCCTTTCGTGCGTGGCCCCACATGCTTGCCTCTCTTGGTTTAGGAATTCTACCAGCTCTGTTGATAGATGCTGTTTGTCAGAGGCTCTAGTGGGGCTGTGTCTCTCTGTGACACTCTGGGGGACCAGGCCTAATCCCTGCATCTGATTTGAGATGTCCTGAAATCCTTCCTTCCTTCCCTCCTTCCTCCCTTCCTCCTTTCATTCCCTCCCTCCCTTCCTCCCTTCTTCCGTTCTTCCCTTCCTCCCTCCCTTCCTTCCTTCCTTCCTTCCTTCCTTCCTCCCCTTCCCCTTCCACTCTCCCCCCCTCCTTCTCCCCTCCCTCCTGCCTTCTTTCTTTCCCCCCTCCTTTCCTCCTTCTTCCCCTCCCTCCCTTTCTGTGCCAGCACTAGGTCTTGAACTGACTGCTTGGGTGCTGTCCCTTAGCCTTTTCTCTCAAGGCTAGCATTCTGCCATTTCAGCCACCACAGCTCCATTTCCAGAGTTTTCTTTTGGCGGTTAAATTGGACATAAGAGTCTCACAGACTTTCCTGTTGGGGTTGTTATGAATAGCGAGCCTCAGATCTCAGCCTCCTGAGTAGCTAGGATGACAGGCGTGAGCCACCAGTGCTGGGCAGCATTTTGAACTCTGGATCCATTATTTTTCAGAGACTTGGTTTGAATTCTCAGTGGTAGGGTGAGCGATTGCTCATTTTCCCACACGCTCCTTGCCTTCAGACTTACAGCTTTAAGTCGTTTCCCTTTGCCTTTGTTTCTGGTGTCACTTTTGTTGTGCTTTTTGGAGGAGTCCTGGAACAGTTTACTTGTGATGTCAGGCATAGTTTTCATGCTCTGTGTGTGTGTGTGTGTGTGTGTGTGTGTGTGTGTGTGTGTGTGTGTGTGTGCATGTGGTGACCCAATCTCGCTATACAATCCAAAGCTACACTTGAACCTACAGTCTTCTAGTTCTAGCCTTCTGAGGCTGGGATTACAAGAATACACCACCATGCTCAGCTCCCTTTGTATATCTTTAATGCTCCAGGTGGGTACATCTTTAAATCACTAGACAAACTGCTCGTGTTAAACTATAGCTACTTTTGGGCTTAGGAAACTGCAATTTAAGGGGCTCCTAGTTACTGCCTCTGAAGTGACTGCAGTTTCCAAACTGAGAGCCAAAATTATAAAATCATGTAAGCATGCATTCTGAAGAGATCCCCTGGTGCTTTACAAAACATAGCCAACATTTCCCAAGCCATACACAGCTCACACTCATCTCACTTAATTCTGACAAGGTCGATTATCAGCATGCTTATTATTATTATCTCAGTATTACCGAGGGAAACACAGGATCACAAGTGTTGATCCAGGTCTGACACCCCTCCCCTCCCCCTCCTCCCAGGAAATTCCTGTGTCTTCTTCCTCTCCACAGACCACACGCAGGCTCTAGGGCAGATCTCAGCCTGGAGCGCCTGCTGGGAGAAAGCGGAAGGGGGGAAGGATTGGGGGGGATTGAGGTCATTTCATGCCTGGTCTGAAAATGCAGCCGCCCTTCGGTCACTGGCTTCCGGTGGGTGGCCGGTCCCGTGCCCATCGGGAAGCCTGGCTCCCTGCCTTCAAGGAGCTCATTTTCTTCTGTGGTTCTTTCTTCCAGCATCCCTCTGCAGCCGAGCTCAGGGTCGTGGCTGAGGGCCGAGAACTGATCCTGGACTTGGAGAAGAATGAGTAAGTCAGCTCCTTCCTCCTTTATCCGCGAGAAAACAATGATCGTGTTCGTCCGCGCCGGACGCAGGTGCCACTGTTTGGGAAGGAAGTGGTTCATGGAGCTGAGCCCCGGCTCTCAATCCTTGGACCCTTTGTGGGAGCATCTTACAAGGACAGAGGGGGTTTTTTGTTATTGTTATTATTATTATTTTTCACTGGCTCTGGATTTGCTGAGGTTGCTGGGCTGCTGTGTTTCCGGTGTCTGGGAATTGACCGCAGGCCCTAGGTGTGTGTGTGTGTGTGTGTGTGTGTGTGTGTGTGTGTGTGTGTGTGTGTGTGTGTGTGTGTGTGTGTGTGTGTGATTAAGGGAAGGAGCCACCTTTCTAGTTCCTAAACCTACGATTCTGCCAGTCAGAGTATTGTCAGCAGAAACCCTGGCTTCCCGCCGCGCTGACCACATGCGTCCCGGGTAGCGTGGCCAGAAATGTTGCCACACTGACTTGCCATCAAGAATGGTTGCAGCCAGGCACCAGTGGCTCACGCCTGTCATCCTAACTGCTCAGGGGGTTGAGGACCGCTGAGGATGTTCAAAGCTTGGGCAGGAGAGTCTGGGCGACTCTTCTTGCCAATTCATCACCAAAAAGCTGGAAGAGGAGGAGGTGCGACTGAGTGACAGCCTTGAGCAGAAAAGCTGAGGGACAGTGTCCAGGTTCTGAGTTCAAGCTCCAGCACACACACACACACACACACACACACGTCATTGATGGGTGCTAGCCATGGAGCAAGGCTGTAATGTCTGAGACTGTGGGTGGGTACCACAGAAAGGGCTCTGCGTATCGAGCTGAGGTCTCTGAAGGCCTTTGTCATTTCTCCCCCACCTACTCTGGGCCTGGGCGCTGTCCCTCAGCTCTTCAGCTCAAGGCGAGCGCTCTACCACTTGAGCCACGGCGCCACGGACTTTTCCTGCCTCGGCTGGCTTTGACCCGCGATCCTCAGATCTCAGCCTCCTGAGGAGCTAGGATGCCAGGCATGAGCCACCACCCGGCCTGGGCAGACTCCCACTTAGATCTCCCACTTAGACCCTGCGGGGAAGGGAAGCATGTGCGTGTGTGGAGGCCGCGGCCTCCTCTGGGCAGCCTCCACACGCCCAGGAGAGGCTCGGGGCGGGGCCTTTCCTTAGCCAGGGAGACAGGAATGGAATGGAATGCATCCCAAATTTGGGCTCTTGGGAGAGCTGTGTGGGGAGCGTGATCACCGCCGTGGTGTGGCTCGCGCCTCTCTTCTGCCTCAGGGACTAGTGTCCTCTAGGTCACCGTGGTCATTGCTGCTCTCCTCTGGTGTGAAGCCAGGCCTCTACTGGCCTGGGGACACGCTGCCCCCTCCCTCTCGGGGGTTCTGTGTCGTGAGTGTCCCCCGTCTTAGGGAAAGGCCCCTAGAGGGGTTGTGCCTGACAGTCCGTCCCCAGAGAGCTCGTTTACTTTCCTGATGTCATCCACCTCTCTTTTGTTCAGCCCTGGAGTGGACCACGTGCCCTCCGCCCCCCCCACCCTACCCCCACCCCCACTTCCACGGCTCCCCCCCAAGTGTTTGGGGGTGTTCTCTTGAGCAGACCTTTAGATATTGGGTCCATGGAGCGTCCTTCCCTCCCTTCTTGGAATTGGGGCCAAAGATCAGGGGAAATAAGAGCAGGGAAAGAACAATGAAAGTCAGGGCTGGGAAGGTGGCTCAGTGGTAGAGCACTTGCCTCGCATGTATGAGGCCCTGGGTTCGATTCCTCAGCACCGCATAAACAGAGTGGTGCTGTGGCTCGTGTGCTAGAGCACTAGCCTTGAGCTGAAGAGCTGAGGGACAGCGCCCAGGCCCAGAGTTCAGCCCCACAACCGTTTTACACACACACACACACACACACACACACACACACAAACACACACACGAAAGAAAATAGTTGGGTGTGGTGTCAGACTCCTGTCATCCCAGCCGTGTGGGGAGGCTGAGGTTCCATGAGGATCAGAGTTCTAGGCCAGCCTTGGGGGGAAAAAAAACAAAAACAAAAAAGGCTTGTGAAACCCCATTTCAACAGAAAAGGTTAGGTGCGGTAGCAGAATCCTGTCATCCCAGCTCTGGTGGGAAATGTGAAACAGGAGGATCGTGGGAAAAATTGGGAGATCTCCCCTCCAAAATAATCCCAGTGGCAAGGAGCTGAGGGCGTGCGTGGCTCAGGTGGTTGGGGTGGAAGCCCCGAGTTCAAACGTCCACACTGCCCAAGGAAAATAATCGTCGCACCAGCCGCTGCGAGTTTTACGCCCAGATGCAGAAACTTCAGCTCACTCAGAGAGGGGGAGACGTTTGTCTAAAGCCACACTGCGGGTTATTGGGAGGGATGAGAGTAGGCACGGAACGTCGCTTGCCTTCTTGGCTTGGGTCTAGAGTCACAGAAGGCGACACCTCAGGCAGGTTGTGGAATCTTCTGGAAGGGCTGTGGGTACCCTCTCTTGTGAAATGAGAATAGTAATGCCGACCTCATGAGGGATTGTGAGGATCTGAGATTAGGTTTTTCAACCCCAAAGTCCAGGAGTCTCAAATTAGGTTGGGCCACGTGAAGACAAAGAAGGCTGATTTCATGGCCGCCGCTGGAAGACAGCAGACAGCCCTTTATTACCTCTCCAGAGCTTCAGAGTAGATAGACAGTGTGGGAAAGGCAAGCAGAGCTCCGCCAGTCCCCGGTCACACTTGTGGCTTGGTTCACCATTAGCCCAGACTTTGCCTTTGGAGAATTGTTAACCACTTTTTCAGGGACGGAAGAGGATAAAGGTAGAGACCCTCAGCGGTTTGGGGCTGTGTTCTTTAAGGAGATAAGATGTAGATAGCGCCTGTCGGAGGGGTAGCTGGCCTTCCTTCCACGCAGAATGTTAATCCAGAGTCTTCTCTTCCTTGCTGAAGTGGGTGGTGATTGCAAAGTTAGCTGCAGCAGTGAGCAGCTCAGATTGCAGGGTGCAGACGCAAAGCTGGGGGTGGGGGGTGTGGGGGGGTACTTCATTCACAGGGCCCAGGGAGGAGCCAGCAACTGTGATCTTTATTAGCCCAGGGCTTGCCCAGATGCGGTTCTATTGTCTGCCACGGATTCCAGCTCGCAGCCACTGGTGAGCAGTGCAGGGGCTGGTTGTAGTACCTGACTGCCCGACTCAGCAGAAGGCAAGGGAATTGTGACCTCACCAGGTGTCCCCAGGGGCTGCTTCCTGCATCCAAATCTGGCCCTTTTTTTTTTTCCTTCTGTTTGTTTTTGAACATGTGTTAGTGAGCGGAAGGGCAGTTGCACATGACTTCCGGCTGTGTTGATTTCCCCAGAGCTCCTCATTCACCGAGAGCTGAGTCCAGACTCCAAACAGCTCTGGAGTGGGGGTGGGGAGGGGGGAGGGGAGCGAGGCCTTCCTGAGGTTTTCAAGTGGCTGTTTCTGTAATCCCCTGATAGCCCTGTCCTGTGATTTCTCAACGCTGTTTGTTAACCTTCTCAGCCCATTTCTCATCTACCCCACGGCTGGCTGGAACATTCCAGGCCCCGGTGTAGATACTAGGGGTCAAGCTGGGGTAAGACACCGAGGTAGTGAGCAAGCAGATTAGCGCAGGGTATGTGAATGGTCAGTGCTTTGGCAGACGCACACACACACACACCCCGTTTATGAATGGCCTGCCCCAACTCTGCTATGGATCGTTGATATCTGAGATACATCAGATCTGAATGCTTGCGCCGTGGAAGATGGCTGAGAGAGGAAAATGATAGCCGTGGTCACTGCCACGTTCAAAGGCCCCATAGAGGATGGAAGTTTCTCGTCCTCTTCCCTCCTTCCTCCTCCCCCTCTCCCGCCCCTCCCCTCCAATATTTCTCCAAATGGTGGTTGCTTCTCGGGTCCCCCCAGGAGCCATGGGAGAGGGCTTCTGAGACTTTGGGGGTGGGGTGGGGTGCAGGGGAGAGGATATTTTAAACCTTTCACCAGCCCGAGGTGTCTGGCCGCCGCCCCCCCATGAAATCAAAGCCCTCGTGCTCATAATGCGGCCCGAAATAGCAGCAGCGAGTGGCCTTTAATGGAATTCGCACATGGGGAGATCATGGCCAAGAATGGAGAGGAAGAGGGGCAGGGGGAGGGGCCGGGGGCGTGGCCAGCCCTGCGTGCAGCCCACCGCTTTGGCTTTGGAGCAGCCCAGAGAAAGCATGAGACCTGAGTGCCCCCCACGTCCCACCGACCCCCCCCCCCAAAAAAAGAAAGAAACCGTCCCTTAGCACAGTCTGTCTGCAGGCTCCTTTGTGCTGGAACCGTCCTGTATTTGCGTCCTGGCTCTGCCACTGAACAAAGCATTCCCCCTGGGGACCGTGTATGTGGTGCTGAGGAATCGAACCCAGGGCCTCATGCATGCAAGGCAAGCGCTCTACCACTGAGCCACCTTCCCAGCCCCTCATTCCTTTTCATGTTTATGCTTTCAAGTTGTTGACTGTGCTCGGGGTTCGAGCTCAAGAACCTTGCGCTCGCTAGCAAAGTGCTCTGCCACTTGAGCCATGGCGCTCTTCTCCCACCTTTTTTGTTGTTGTTGGTTTGTTGGTTTTCAGTGCTTTCTGAATAGGGCCTTGCATTTTGCTCGAGTAAAGCCTGGACTGGAATCCGCCTGTTTGCCCTTCCCGTGAGGCTGGGTGACAGGCTTGTACCACCACCCCCAGATTTTTATTGGTTGCAGTGGGAGTCTCTGTTGCCGCCAGCTAGCCTTGAACCTGGATCCTCCTGACTTCTATCGGTGGGATTACAGGAACGAGCCACTGCGCCCGGCTTGTTTGTTGTTTTCACACTGCAAAGGTAGTGCACACTCATTGTGTGTAAGAGGCAAAAATACCAACTGAAGCATGAGGGCTTCCCACTCTCGAGGAGACGCCACCATTAAACTATGTGGGGGCTTAGCTTTGACCTTCCCTGGGCGCGTGCTGTGATGCCCACCTGTAATCTCAGACACAGGTGAAAGGATGTACATCCTCACGC